TCTATTGATGGTTCATACAGAGAACTGTTTTTGACTGAAAAATTACATACGTTTACAATTTCTACACCTTGGATTATGATCATAAGTAATTGGTTTAAAAAATACTTCCAGTCCACTTATGTAAAAAAAACCTTAGCAGAGTTCCTTTATTATAAGTAATTGTTTTTCATCAGTTTCCAAATTTTTGCCAGCTAAAACATTTTTAAAATTCATTTGTTGATTTTTTAGACTTATACACATGTAATTTTATCATCTTTATCTTTTTGTTTATGAAATTATGTTTGGAACCTAGTCTTCCATACGTAAATGTACTAAAGTCTAACATTTTACCTCTCGCACCATATATAAATATTTAAACCACATATCTCAATAAGTAAAGCTTCAGTGAGGTCTAAAAAACAAGCAATGATGTTCATATTGGTTTTCAACAAAAAGGTAATAGTACCATGCAATACAAAAATGTTATTTAATTCATCTTTAAAATGTATGGTTTAAAATCAGCCAGCGCTGCAATACTAGTGGAATATAGGTTTGAAATGCCGACTTTTTTTACCTTTTCTTTATTTTGTATTACAATACTGCTGTCAGGACTGTCGTAGTTCAATGATTAATTGTCCCCGGCATGAACCGGAGAGTCTGGGTTTTGAAATATTTATTGTTATTTTGCAATTTTTGTTCCGGTTGCATTATACGTTGCATGTAAGTTTCGCCGATGAAGGTTTTACTACCGACACCAGTAAAAAAACATGACGCCGCTTAAAAACATGACTTTGTAATTGATATTTTTTCATATATTATCAAGTATAAAATTATCTATATTTATATTTGTATCATGTCTACACTTTTTGCAGTCGAACTACTTTTGTGTTGCTATATTTTTTGGAATTTTCTGAAAAATAAGATGATGAAGGAAAAACAAAACGATTATGAATAAGTCAATAATGTCGCTTGAAATTCATGTTTTGAAAGTAGTATTTTCTTTACATAAAATTGCCCGCATGGTAAGCGTATAAGGTAGACTTCCAAAGGTCCCTGGTTCGACACACAAACTGGGCAAAATTTCTCTGTGACAGTTAATTTCTGACATTAAATATAGATATGATTTGTCTTTCATTGCTGATAAAATCAAAGCACAGAAGGCGCTGAATTTGTTTGGGTCTATGAATGTAAGAAAGGTGCAGGTTGTGAGATTATATGTATAGTGCCACCAATGCTTTCCAGCGTTTTAATTGTAGTAAATTGGCTATAAGACTAATTGCAACACTGATATTCAACCCAATGTTTATTTGACTTTAACAATTTGAAAAAAAATGAGTTACCTTTACTGAGATTTGAACTCCAGACCTCTCGCTTTCTAAGCGAGCCCGAAAACCCTTCAGCCACGGTGAATTTATATGTGAACGGGCTGAAGAAACCCATATTATTCTAAATTAGGGCTTGTAACGACTTTAACTATTGTTTAACACAGATGTAAATAATCCTGGAGCTTACTATAAGCATTTATATTTATAAAGAATCAAAGGGCTGTAAGTTCTGTGGTATTTTCTGATCTTTGCAATCTAAATCGTACTGTATATCTGTATGCATTTTCCTGTATAGGTTTATTTCTATGTATTATAGTTCATTTTGCAAGGCACCAGAGTTTGATACATACGGAATTCTGCATAACTAGAGTTGCATCAAAAAATCATTTATGTTCTTTTTTTACGACAGCCACACTTTATCCTTGCATATCATGGCTACTTCCTTAACAAAAACACTTAAAAAAGAATTTAACAAAAAAAAGTTTCCTCGACTGGGATTCGAACTCGAGACGTCTCACTCACTAAGCCAGCGCGTTACCACTATACCACGGAGAAGTTATACACATAGATATTGAATAATATCAAGTCATTCTAAATTTAGAACTTCCATTGCATTTCGGGTTTGTAATCCTTATTAATTTTGAGGTATTTTGTTCAGGGTACACCTGTTGTTTAAAATTGAAGTAAATATTTTAGCGAAAATCCTCTCGCCCAAACAGTCCGACGTGTAGAATCTATATATTCCACTACTCGGTTTGTGTAGTATTCGGTAATAAATAGCTAGTATTTTCATTGATAAAATCATATTCATCCGCGTAATTTGTGATTGTGCATTTATTGACAATTTTATAAGCCAACGCTATTGTTTAAGTTTAAATGCGTTGTAATTTGTTGGATACTTGTAACAAAATAAAATATTTCTTTCTTTTAAATCGCTAGTTTTAAGCTGTTTTGAGAACTACTTGTTGTTAGGTTTGTTGTAAACTTCTGTGTCAGAGATTGAATGTCCGCTTTGTATTTAGTTATTTTCGATCAGAAAATACAATAAAACAATATCAGAAATCTTCGACCATTCGGGAATTTCTTTGCTTGAAAATTGATGCGCCTGTCTTTGACCATCTTTACGCAGTGATCTCCCCTGAATTTTTCGGCTTTAGTGTACATACAAAAGGGAAGTAACCGCTTCAAAAAAGTGGACTACTTTCGGCATTTGCAATTAACAACATTAGACTCTGAAATTTCGCTACCATTATTTGTTTGGTCTGACGACCCAAACAAATAAAAAACCATGTGGTATGAGTGGTCGGCTACTCGCGGAGAAATTGGAAATAAGTGACTTATCATCTAGGGAAGATAGTTAGGTTAACCTGTCGCCAAGGCAGGACCAAAATAATCAGACTTGTAAAGATCTTTTTGCAGAAATATATTTCATCTTTGCATGTTACTACTAAAACTTTAATGATTCCGATTTTCGCAATAAATATTATGCTTACAAAAGACTAACACAATCATTATTCTGGCGCGCATCTGAATTATTAATAACTTTTAAGCTGTCTAAAACCAAAATTTCGCAGCTGATAGTCTACAAAAACAAATTTTATATTCGTTCTATAAGATATATTTATATTTACCGTACCAACTGCCGCAAAGACATTATAACAAAGAAATTATTTCATTGTCGTTTTGAAGAGTTGAGTGGAGAGTTTGGTAATAGTTTTCTAAAGGCGAAGGAAAATTGTCAATTGAATAAGGCAAATTCTCCCATGTTTCCATTTTCATTACAAGGTAGTTACAGTGATGTGTGCAACTTGTAGAAGAAATAAATCATATGAATTATTCTCGACGTTTTTCTAGTACGGCATTTGGCTAGATGAATACACAAAACGGGGGACAATTTACTCCCATCCTTTAGAAAGGATTGTTATCTTGAATTGAATTGCAATTTTAATAAATGATTAACATCATATATTGATTGACTACTCAGACACTCAAAATTTTCGGGTGTTTGGATTACGGAGAAAATGGACAATAAGAAAAAATAGTGTGCTCTTACAGTTTAAATGGAAAAAACATAATATTTGAGGAATTTCTTGAAAAGTTGCGGATACATTGAAAATCTATTTGATTAATATATTTAGCGATACTAGCTGTTGCCTTGTCCTGAACCTTTCTTGCAGTACGTTGGACCTATAGTTAAAGGCATCATATAGATTTTACTTTACTTCACCATCGGAAGCATACATGTATATTACAATCAATTAATACTAGGAAACTTACTTAAAGTATTCAGTCGGGATTTTTCTTTATTTTTGTAATTCTGGAATGTGTCAAGCGGATGAATCAGAATTCCTCCGAGTACCCTGACATTTCTATTTTTATTATTCGAGAGTAACTCTGGTGTGGTTTGTTTTCTTGTACATTCTCGTACATTCTCGTAGCATCTTTGAAATGAACGCAGGATATAATTTGTCACAGTGTTATACAATTGGAGTATAGAATAGCAGAGGGAATGCATTTTGAGATTGTTGTGCATTTGTGTTTTTCTTACGCCAATTGTTTTGTTTAGTGTTTTTCAAGACGATATGCTATATTTATAAGAAAAACTTTTACACGTGTCTAAATAGTAAGCTAAAGTATAATTTTTCATCATTGATCGAGTGTTATTTTCATTACATATGATTTATTTTCATAAAACAAATGTTTGAATAAACATTGCTTTACAAATACATGTATAACTTTTACATGAATTAAACAGTATAATGGTGTGAGGTTCTTGTTGTGAGTGACATTTGGACATAATGGAGACATTTGTGAAATTTTTTGTATCTTTAAATATTATATGTGTATTTGCGAAACAATAAGTGATTCCTCTATAGCAAATGAATTAATATTTCCTAGAGGGATATGTTTATTGATTGAGTTATTATTGATTCAAGTTTTATATAGCAATCAAGGGAAATGCATTTGTATATTGTTTTATCATGAATCTGACTTCTAGTGGTGAGAGTCTCAGTGGATACCATTACATTTTATCTTTCAATAAAAAACAAATGATAGCTTAATATTTAGTTTGAAAAATATTTCCAAGCGCTTTAAGTTCGGATAAACTAGTTTAAGTCATTAATTTTAATAAAATCCAATAAAATGAATATTTCAATTAGACTGGGAATCGTTCGCGTGAAAATTGCACTACGAGAATAAATTGTTCTACGTTGAAATGTTTTAAGTGCTGCTACAAGTATATGTTTTATAATTAAATTATTGAACTATTTTCTTCACAGTGCAGTCCTTTATTACATTAGAATGACAAGTGAAATAGATAGAACGAATTTAATTTAGATTCGAAATTTAGAGAAAGATATTACAAATTATAAAAGGAATATCTAGAAGAAAATACAGAAGCAAAAATAAACCGAGGAAAGTTATTGTATCATTTATCATTGTTTGTAAAGGCAAAGTTATTTCAAAGAAAATTCTATTTGCAATAATTTACTACGATAGCATGGATTATTTAAACTTGTTTACGTCAATTTGGAACATGTATTGACGCTGTGACTTTGAAAAAACAAAAAAGCAAAGTTCATTGTGAGACAATGTTTTGATAGTTTCATAGAGAAACAAACATATTACATTTTATTGCACACGTACAAAAGCAGATGAAATACTTGCATATCCGAATATATGACATGTTTGCAGCCATTTCCGCCGAGCCTCAATTCCGTCATCGGCTGGACTCGTTCCTGCCAGACCAGCCCGAAGGAGACACAATCTCTGAAATTGTGAGGATAAGAAATGAGTTCGAGGAAGAAGAGAAGAAGAAATTCAAGCTGCCAAGATGGATCCGAAGGTTAAAATTTCCACATGTCATTGAACCACAAAGTAAGTTCTACGTATAGGTTACAGATGTTTTTTTTTGGTTTCCGGGCTTTTTTAATGGATTGCAGGTGGATTATTTTTACCATAGCGAAATGGAATTTTTATATAATATCTACCATAACTTAATCCTAAAATACTGTTATATATCAAATACAATTATTTCGACAATGTTTATAACAATGATAGAGAAAACCTGGAAAACCTTTTCAGAGGTGTTTGATATTAAGCCAAGAAAACAATCTGTAAAATGCAACCGTCTTTTAATAAATATTCAACTTATTAATTATACAATACCTTTTTTCAAAATTTATTTACTGTCATAACTATGTTTCTATATTTCAAAATGCAATTCAGGTGAAAAAGGGTTTTAATAATACAAAGCCTTCATCGTTCATTGGTTTAAAAAAAGGAGTTTGCTCGCAGCTTCTTTGGCAAGCTTTTGTTTTTTTTACTTTTTGTTAACGCAATTTCTCAAATTTATAGCATAGGTTTTGTTTTGTTTCTAGCGATCAAAGCACAAAACTATGCTTCAACATTTAAGAAAAGTCAGAATTATTTGATATCTTTAAGGACTATGTTGTGTTTCTTCTTTCACCACAATATTTTGATTGAGATTGTCTAGAGGAGTTTGCGTCAAAGTGACATGAAACGTCGGTTTGATTTCTGAAGTCCAGTCGAAAATAATTGCACAAGATCTTGTCAGTTGGTCAGTCCGTAATTACATCTGGACAGGAAATTGGTATCGTTGAGCGAAGTGTAAAAGACGCTATTTGCATATTTGTTTGGAGAATTACATTCCGATATGAGTCTGGTTAAATAGCAGCATTTATTACTAATGTATTGAAACCCTGAAATAGCCATCTTCCCATGTATGCTTATTTAACCATTTACCTCAAATATACGCGAAACAACGCACTTTTGACCCCCCTTTTTATAGGGGGAAAGGGTTAAGACTGACTTGTGGAATAATGACTTCATTTATCAAATTCGCTATAAGGGCAATGTCAGTGAAACAAAGTGCGGGTGTATTCATTCAAATAATATCTGTCTTAATTATTTATGTAGTTGTTAAAAATGTGCCCACGAATTAACATATTCTCAGTAAATTGGAAACAACCTATCCAAATTTAATTGTTTTACGCGACTATTTTGCCAGAAATAATTTAGGAAGTATTTGAATTAAACTTTAAAAGTTGCGAACTATGTAGTGGATTTTCGTATTTTCGATTTTACTATACATGTATTTTACAATAATTTTATAGCACCTTGTTCAAAATAACAATCACAATCTGCGGACATGTTTTTATACTTTCTATGTTTTTTCAGGTAAATTATATCTACTATGGTTATTTATAGTAACATTGGCGTTCATGTATAATGCATGGGCAATACCGTTGCGGGCAGCCTTTCCTTATCAAACTCCGGACAATGTTAAATACTGGTTGGCGTGTGACTATTTTTGCGACTTTGTGTACATAGTTGACATTGTACTGTTTAAAATGAGGATCAGCTTCCTAAATAGCGGACTTAAGGAGGTATATAAATATGTTTTATCAATTTTCATACTACTTTACACATGACATAGGTTTTTATCAACTTTCGTACTTCGTTGTACTTTAAATTTGAAATAGGTTTTATCAATTTTCGTACAACTTTACACGTGAAATAGGTTTTAGCAATTTCATACTTCATTGTGCTTTACACGTGAAATTGGTTTGATCAATTTTCGTACTTTATTGTACTTTAAACTTAAAATGGTACTTTATTGTACTTTAAACGTGAAAAAGGTTTTTAGCAATTTCGTACTACTTTACACGTGAAAAAGGTTTTATCAACTTTCGTATTACTTTACATGTGAAATAGGTTTTACCAATGTTTGTACTACTTTACACGTGAAATAGGTTTTATCAGTTTTCGCACTGCTTCACACGTGAAATAGAAATGTGAATTTGCTTTCATAGAAATCGTTTTAGCGCATTATGTTATCATAGGCTAACAGGCAGACAGATGGTTTTGATGCGCATTAACTTCCTTAAACAAGACATATTTGCACCGATGAAATGATACGTTATTTCGCCTTTTCCCATTAAGTACAAAAATAGCTATCATATTATGTAGACATCAGATTCATTCTTTCCATATAGAATTAAGTCTTCCTGAAAGTTGCAAGAATAAAATTATTTTTGAAAAGTTTTTAGTATTTTTTCTACAGGAACCGTAAATTGACTTAATTTCGCGGGCATGAAATTTCGTAGTTTTGTCAAAATTACATTTTTTCGTTTGTTCTTAAATAAGTGGACTGTCTAGTTTTCCAAATGGTAAAATGTTAATAATGTGATGCAAAATAATCAATTTCATTGCATCTTAAATCCATGGATTGACCTGTCCACAAAAACAAGAAATTGTGACCAACGAATTATAATAATTTTGCATTAAATTGCTGTAATTTTTCTTTTTTGATGCAGTCTTCTGTAAAGTGATTATTTATTGCAACTCACTTCTTGCTGTCTTTTAATGGGAATTTTTCCATAACAGTTACTGCTTAATCATATTGTCATTTGCGCAGCTGAATTAATGGGTATTATAAATGTAAAAGCAAAGTTCTTTAATATATGTTGAACAATTATACACATATGCAACATTTCATTTGTATATAAATAAAATGCCGACCTTGTTAGAATGCTGTTTTATGTCTTCAAGCTTATCACCGTATGTTATGTATATATTATGCGGTTTTCTTATTTTAAAAATTTTGAACTGTGAAAATTACCATTAGTAAAGAGAAAAAAACCTTACACATCGTGAGGTAGCATTATATAAGATGGACTGACGGAAAGTGGTTTGAGAGAGAAAATCTACGCTCGATGTTATTAAGTAACTTATTCCTCCAATAGTCATTTAGTAGTTAACTGCCTTCAAGAACAGATGTGTGTCTGCTAGATAATATCGCTAGATTATGATATCAAGTTGTGATTTTTTAAAAACAAAACTGATATAACAAGAAAAATATTACATACATTCGTATGTAATATAGGTACGATTGCATACTACTTTTTGTGAAGACTTTTTATGTTTGCTGCATTAAAAAGTAATGTAAAATGAACAAACATGTCATGAGATATTTCATATCTTTAATCATTTTCATGGAATGTAATCAATGTATCATCATATTGAAGTTGCATGCCTTCAGATGAGAAAAATGATTTCAAGAAAATCAAAATATAAAAAGAAAATTTACGGTCAATTGACTGCTTTGAAGCATAATCACAGAATAAAATTACAGGAAATTGAAATTATTTGTTATATATTGATAAAAAAAAAACTCCGAAAGACACAGTTTGTAAATAATTATTACAATAAAATGAGAAAGGTATTTTCCATCCTATGCGACGCGCCAATGTTAGCTATATTTAGGAAATAGATATCAATTCTGAGTGCATTGTTGTAGAATAATGCACGGTTTGAGTTCAAATGCGAAGTAAGATAATCACGAAAGCCGATAGGCCTGAGTGATTAATTACAAAGCATTTGAACGAAAAACGTGCATTATTATACAATAATGGACGAAGAATTAATATCTATTTCCATTCTAACACGCCCAGAAAAAATATAATTATAATTCTTAAGTTGGACTTTATGTTTGGTGGTTAAATTTGTTTTCGCCTCAGAGTTTCCAATAGAAACGTTCTTTTAAGGCTGTTCCAGTGGTTTGAAAAAACTGTCGTTAAATCTACCATGTGTAGCAACATTTTGGGAAATAGAGGATATTGAATGAGTGTAAGTTCAATACTGAATTTATTGCACGAGTTGAATAAAATTATATTATGCGAGCCTCTGTCGAGCATAATATTATTTTATTCAACGAGTGCAATACTAGTAAATTCAGAAATAAACTTACACGAATTTAATATTCTATTTATCACATACACAAAATAAAGACCGTTTAAAGTGAAATAAGAGTCATTTTCATTGACGCGCCTACAGTATAATGCTAACATTCAGCGCGGCTTTACACTATGTCTGTATAACGCTAATGACGTCACGTCAAAATATATGCACGGCTGTGCAATACCATTTTTACGGAGTCGCAAAATCGGCATGGGTGTGTGATAATAACGAATTTTGGAAACGTTGATAAAACTTTGTTTTTATGCCCCCGCCATGTAATCTCCCCAACGGTACGACACATTTAACTCAAACTTGACATATGGATATGTCATGAGAAAATACAGGTCAAGTTCGAATTTGGTCATGGTTCGATGATTTTTGGCAGAGTTATGCCCCTTTTACTTTGAAATTAATATGAAATTTTCAGTTTCCGTTCAATATCTCCCCAACGGTACAACACATTCAACTCAAACTTAATATATGGATATGTCATGAGAAAATACAGGTCAAGTTCGAATTTGGTCGTGGTTCGATGATTTTTGGCAGAGTTATGCCCCTTTTACTTTGAAAATAATATGAAATTTTCAGTTTCCGTTCATTATCTCCCCAAAGGTACAACACATTCAACTCAAACTTGACATATGGATGCGTCAAAGGAATGCGCAGGTCAAGTTCAAATTTGGTCATGGTTCAATGATTTTTGTCAGAGTTATGCCCCTTTCACTTTGAAAGTAATATGAAATTTTCATTTTCCGTTTATTATCTCCCCAATGGTGCAACACATTCAACTCAAATTTGACATATGGATATGTTTTTGGAATGCCCAGGCCAAGTTTGAGTTTGGTCATGGTTCAATGATTTTTTGCAGAGTAATGCCCCTTTCACTTTGAAAATAATTATGAAATTTACAGTTTCTGTTCATTATCTACCCAACAGTGATACATATTCAACTTAAATTTGACATATGGATATGTCAAAGGAATGGGCAGGTCAAGTTGGAATTTGGTCATGGTTTGATGATTTTTTGGCAGAGTTATGTCCCTTTCACTTTGAAAATAATATAGATACATCTTAGGAATAAGCAGTTTAAGTTTGAATTTGGTTGTAGTTCAATGATTTAAGACAAACTTATCTTTCCTGAATGTTGGAAAAAATTTGAACTTTCAGTTTCAGCACTCTTACTTTTAGCCATTATTTTGGCTACAAATATGCAATATGCTATTTTTAAAAGGTTTAGACTGAATAATTTCAGTGCCTTGAACATTGTATGAAAATGGTTTGTGTTAACATTGAAAAGTTTTAAGGGCTTTGAACTTAAAATGAAAAAAATAATTAATGCACCATCTGAAATTTTGGCTGCATGCGGGGGCATCCGTGGCATGATGACACATTTCTAGTTTATTTTATTTCACTCAATAATTGTTCAAGCGAAATACAAATTATTTAAAGTGAAATAAATGTAAAACTTAATTCGTTTGCGACATTAAAATAGCGTACTTGATGTTTTCATTGGCTTAAACCATTACGTTATCAATACACATAAAGGTGTGAACTAATTTCGTGTTCATTAAAATTAATCCGTTAATAGACATATAACAATCTTATTTACAAATGCATTGATAAAACAACAATCCCAGAAGCATTTAAGATAATATCAATCATTGGAAAAAAATTAATGCATAACAAAACATAATAGACTCAACCAAAACAAGCGTCTGCTTCTTTACCTAACTATGTAGTTGCATGATCATGATCAGCAATCGCGAACCAAATCTAAGAGCTAAAGCTATTGTAAAAATAATACTATGACCACAGCAGATTTCGTACAGAAAAGATACTTTAAACATTTATTTATATCAATATACGGTGAAAGGCTGCAACAGCCAAGGCGTTTACTTTTTAATACAGAGTAGATGCTTAATGTAAAAGTCCATGAATTTACAGTAGAAATAAGTTGATCTTGGATCACATAATCTTTTTAAAAGTATGATTTTAGAGAAATAGAAATTCTTTCCTTTTAAGTTGAAAATGGAGAGGTCAAAATATTGAAGGACTATTGAAGGTACGTTTAATTAATTTAACCGTTGAAGGGCTAAACTCACGATGTAGTCATTTCATAAATTGAAAATCGAAAAAAAAACAAAAAAACATAAAAAACCAAACAAAAACAACAACAAGTAACAAATTAAACGAATAACAAATAAAATGTTTGTAAATGTAACATAATTTTATCCCCTCTCTCTTTTACAGACGCATCGATCGAAAACAAGAGCCAATTACATGGCAAAGAAAATGTTTAGAGTAAGTATGTTATGACTAAAAAAGATCGTTAAACAATTTCGGGAAGACCCAACTCAATATCCTTACATTAGTAAACACTCTTACTCCATTATCGTATGTCTTTCATTCGTAAATTGGTTGACAGACTCCATTGAAGATTATGTTAAGCTACCTATAAGTTTCCCTTTCAATAATGGATACTCTAAGATTGATTATAGAAACCTTAATCCATCATTGCCAAGATGTAATTCAATTTTGGGAGAACAAATGTGAAGCCAAGAATTTCATCATTTTTATTGCCATCCATTGTATCTTAGTGATCTATTTATCTAGACATTATCTTAGGATATTTCGGAATTATATTTTGTTATTTTGTTTGCTTGTAGATCAATGTCTGGTTTAATTTTAACGGTCTCTGTTCAATATTTACGGGTTTTCTTTTTTCCGGGAATTATGTTTATGATTGGTAATAAAGTTCTTTCGTATCATTTTTAAACCAATTTTTGAAACAAAAACATTTGTCTCGGAATAGTCTTCATTTTACACAATAAGAATGAAGACCATAAAAGGAGTGAATGTACAACCGTAATTGCATGAACAGAAAGTTTGGGGGCTCTGTGTTTTCTTATACCGCAAAAAATACCGTTTTGCTTATCATACCGCAAAATAGAATCGTAAAAAAATATGGTCAGGTTTCCTTACCAGACCAAAGTTAACATCAGATGTATAGTATATAGGAGATTAATTAACGAAATGTCGAGGCTATAATTATATATATTCTACTCGTCCATTCTAGTCAACAGTAATCCGGCTCTAAGGTGTAATTAAATACAAGACAATTTATCAATAGAATACTGTTAAAAACGTTTACTTTATTACGAAGCTATTATCTAAATAATACTTTATCAGAAGTAAGTTAAATGTTGAGGCTTTTATAGAAATATATTTAATTTTAAAGCGTTTATGGAATATTGTTTAATGTTATAGCTTTGTCTTATTCAATTAAGATTTTTTCTAGATTTCAATAAATTCCTGCAATGAATAATTTGGAAATATTTGACCGCATAGTATGTATACTAAATTTTACATTTTGAAACATAATATTTCTACTTTGTGAAAAATCAAAACATCAAATTTGAGTATAATATATCTTTAAGTTATATATAAAGGGGACATCTTTTTCAATAGTACAAAGTAATACTGGACTTTTTACATAGAGAACTTTCCGCTTTTTGTGATGATCCCGACAAAATATTTCAAGTTACTTAACCAACAAAATAACAATGTGCTTGAAAGTAGTCTTTTACTTTTCGAGCATTGTTTCTGCAATAAATGTTATTAAATGTTCAGGCATAATAAATATGGCACCTCTCTATTAAAAATCAATTGTTTTGTACTTAGTTTAGTGTCTGCAATTATGTTATTACCATTTCAGTCACAATAAATATGGCATCTTTCCTTAAAGAAACAACGTTTGTCATCTCCTTCTGTTCCGTCCAATCATTTGTGCTCTCAAGAAAAAAATACAAATTGCGTCTGTATACAAATCATATTACTCATGTTAACGAGTACAAGTATTTGTCATTTGTTCTGGTAATTACATTGGGCAGCTGTTCAGTTGTGTGTTTAATTCATTTTATCTTTTTTCTATCACCAGTTTGATTGTCTGTCGTTATTACCATTGGACCTTCTATATCTAATAGAGATGAAAGTAAACCCTTGGTGCCGGTTACCAAGGGTCATGAAGGTAAGCTTATATTTACCAAAAGTAGATCAAATATTTTTTATAACACGCAATGATTTCAGTTTGTTTTTGTAATCAAGTTATAAAATGTATGATTATATATTATTACATATATTATCATATCAGAATTTGTCTTTGAATTTGGGAATAAAAAAGAGACGATAGTAAAAAGCAATGATAGTTGTAGGCCAGTTGTTTGTTGAAACAGTTGATTTTAATAAAAACGTTCAAATGAGAGCCATTATTTTGCATGTTTTCACTTAATACCGGAAAGAAACCCTCCTCTATATGTGATTCTCCGTATCTGTAAAGCAATAATACGAACATGAATGGCATTAATTTGCAAACTGTACAGCTGTGTTTAATCCGTTACATTAAACACTGTTACAATAAATCCTGTTACAAAGAAGGTATATTGCAATGATGCCGTCTGCAAATGATAATCCTACTTTAATAGCCAAGGTGAGCCGTACGAATACATGAATAATGACAATACGTTATAGCAACTTTCCTTGTAGCTAGCACAATTTGATCTGGGTAACTTTTAAAGAACGTAGCCAATTTTATCTTTATAATATGGTGTTTTTTATAGATCCAGACATTTTGGGAGTTTTATTCGAGATGTGACCATTTGGTTAGATCAGCACATGCAGTGAGGTATGTAATGATATTACTTTAAAGTACTATAGGTATTGTTCCTTATTACATCAGAGATATATACTTTCTATTTTGCAAATCAACATGCTGTCTGTAATCTGTGATCGTATTTAACTGGTAGTCTAGAGTATGATGTCCAAAACATCTTGATCTCTCGGAAGCTACGGAAACAACAATATTGTATGAAAAATGCAAGATCTGCCTGACAGTGTCTGTTTATACAACTTTATAAAGTTCAACGGTTTAAGTATAGAAGATAAGGTGATGTCGTTGATAGTCCTTCAAAACATTACAACATTAGTCTGTCTGTCTTTTACTGGGGTGTGACGTCATTATAGTAGTTTGCGCTTGCTGCAGCCTTTTTCAATCATAACAATAGATGTCGGTTGCTTGCATGCAAGCGGAAAATTAAATTTTCGCTGCAGTTAACTAACGGAAAAAACAACGTAGTTATACTTTAGCATTTTGAAACCAATGATTTCATTGGCTAACCAAAAAAGTCAAAATATGGTGACTCTTTCGCGATGTCATTGATTTATGTAACAGAAAGAATTGAAGCGTCACTTACATTCTAACAAAATTGCTTCTGCTGCTTTCTCTACCAAATATCAACACGTTTCTTTCCTGCTCCTGTCTGTATCACTCAATGTTAATATTGTGAATATAAGAGCTTTAGAATGAACTTTTGCTTTGGAAGTCAATATTGAGAGAGAAAGTTTCTCGATGAATTTTACACCATGCTTTGATTAAATCAGCAATGTTCCCGGAAAAGCAGCCACACGAGGCAAATTTTATCACATTTAATCTAAAGCTGTCAATATCTTGTCATAATCACACTGAATTCAAGAAGTTTTTTAGTGTCAGCATAATGTATTAGATTTCGTTCTTGAAGCTAGTTTTAAGCGTTCTTTACATTTAAGAAATCCTGGAGGATTATTTTGACATCAAAAAATTCTGATGCATTGGCATGCGATTATTTTGACATCAAGGAATTCTGAGATATTGGCATGCAGTTTTGTTGAAACATTAGTTCAAGTTATTAAATTGGATTGGTCTACAATGGGCATATTTTCTATAAGCATTTCAAATATTGATGACAAACATAAACAAAAAATATTTAATTATTATAAAATATTTCTTGGAAGAAAAAATGTGGTGGGAGTTTAAAGTGTTTAACCTTTCACAAATGCTGCAAATATTGCATTTTCCTGCATTAAACGAGTTAATTCGATCATTAGGTATCATGGGGGAAAAACATAAGTGGGGAGGGGTTTATATTCTACACATGGAGAAATTCGCGGAATTTCTTTGGGTATTTTGACTCACAAAATAATTCCAAAATGGTATTATGTAAGTAATGCAAAGTATTGAAAAGAAATTGTTATCTTTACATTTCGTTTTAAAGCTTACATTCATTACTCTTTTATATTTTTTTTTAGCTAAACTCCATCACATCGAGTTGACTTCCTGCAATTGTAAAAGGAAAAACTGAATACCATGTAAATCTCATTGGTCATTTAAAATTACAAACTGAAACCTTTAAATCTCATTGGCAATTTTTATATTAGTAAAGTAATGTCCAGGAAGTTTGAAACGTGTACTCATCTTATTTCATGAATCATCTTAAGGGTTTTCGGAAATTATCCTTCTAGACTGGTTTTTTGGGATACTTCATGCTTCCTCACTAAAAATGTTTTATACCGCTTTTAAAATTTCCTAAAATTTTCTAATGAATATTCTTGAACATATTTACATAATTTTACTGAACCCTTTTCTGATATCCTCAGAATATCTTATTTAGTGAACTTTTTGGTTTTCCGTTGATGTCTTAAGTTTATCACCAAAACCTCATTTACATGTAGATAGTATTGCTAATATCACAAAAAGGATCGCTAAGAAAAATCTTCAAATTTATTTATTTCAAAACTTACTCAAACAGTCAAATAGTGTGTAAATCTTCCGGCCGTTTTAAATTTGGTGTGCAGAAAGTGACCAACTTGCAGTATTTTCTTTTTTCCTTTATAATATTGACGCTTACTTTGACTTTCATCGCTTACTTTGACTTTCATCGGAAGCATTTCAAAGTGTCAAAATATAATGATTGCCACGTTGTAACGTAACAATATTTTAGAAATTGTATATATCACCTACATATTAACAAAATAATTTTTTTTCATTTTCAGAATAATGAAAACATTCACATATATGTTATTTCTGATTCACGTGGAAACATGCGGGTATTATGCTATGTCGGTATATGAAGGAATTGGTATAAATGAATGGGTTTATAACGGAGAAGGAAATGCGTAAGTTAGATGTTTTCATTTCTGTATGCACAGGCAAATGTCGTTTTTTTACATAATGAAAATAAAATATTAACCAAGTTGTGTATCAGTTTGAAATTTTATTGAATGAAATATTTTAAATATTTACAATATTTGTAGCGTAAAAAACATGTTTAATCATCCAAAAGCAAGGAATTAACCTAATAGGTCAGGTCAAATAGTCTATGCTTAATGAAGGTCCATCCGCCCTTTCAGGCACTGAGACCCTGGACATGTCACCAGTCACACCCTTAAATAGTATTTAATTTCTAAAGTGGTGACCTATTTGATTTGAATTCAGTAATTCACTGAATGTGTTTCCAAATAATAGTGCAATCATTTTCATGTGTAGTCAGAATAATGCACGAGAGGCCAAAAAGGCCATTATACATATAATAATGCTGTATATAATTTAATAAATTTAACAACTAGAATGAATACACTTATAAATGCATTTTAAAAGTAACAACAATTGACTTTTAAAAAAATTTATAAGTACACAATGATTATTATTTTCATATAAATATACCATCTATAATTGATACTGTGTTGAATTCATTTGTAAAATGTGCTCTGCAGATAGATAACGTTATTACGGGAGGATTAACATATTTCAAAATTTACCGTCCCAAAATATGGAACACATCTAGTTTAGCGGAGTCCGGGGGATAAACAATACAAGCTGGATCTGCTGGCCCCACAACCCCTGCATTTGAATATTCAAAACTACAACAAAATTCAGAAAAACACTTAGAAACAGAATCAAAAATCATAAAACTTTGCAAAATAGCATGCACACAGTTCTGGAATCCGCTAAACTAGATCCTATCCAAAATATGAAATTGCCATCTTGTTGAAAATGTAATTACTCTGTCATCAGAAAAGTTATTTTACTGTTAAATTTTTTTAAGCAAACTGATTTTCAATCATTTCAGAAAACTAAATTACAAATAGAAAATTAACTTAATCAATATTGGCAGAATAACATTTGAATGGTATTTATAGCTTTGCATGCAAGGCATCAAGAAAGTGCAATATGGTTAATGTTTGTTTCCAGCTAAAATTACTAGACATCAGTTTGTGATTTGTGCATCAAATGATTAATATCCGTAATTTATGAATCATTCTGTCAGACGGTGATTCATAAAAAAATAATCTGGCTTCTAAATGCTTCCCATTTACCATTTTATCTGCAAATATTTTATTCACCAGATATTTATTTAATGACCATTACACATTCAACGGAAAACCAAACAGATAACCCATCAGAAATGTAATTTCCGCTGAATGGAGAAATTTATAATTATAGAATATTCTGGTTTAAGAAAAGAATACCATTTAAATAAATAGTTATTGGCGTTTTCGTGTATAAATGTACTTAGATATTTCATTGATGATATTATATGTACGAATTGTTAATTCTTTTGTAAACCAACATTAATATCGCTCTATCCGTTTAAACGTTTTTAGCGGCCATGAGTCCTTTTTAATATTACCCTTTAGCCAGTTGTCGGAAATAGATCCTACCCTTGCTACTAGTGCAGACCAAGATCAACCGGAGCTTCCGCATAATCTGATTATGGTCTGCACTGTTTGCTTTTCAGTCAGTACATATTTTGAAATGTTCGCAAAAGCTAATGAATGCGTGTGTCCATATGAAAACATAGGTTTAGATTGATAACGATTGAGAATTCCTAACTATTTAAGCAGCGAAATGTAATAGACTAAACAGAATAGTGAGATTTGTGATTTGCGCGTCCGTTGCTGAATGGTTTTGGTCGTTGACTTCAAACCGCTTACACGTCACTGTTGTGGGTTCGAATCCGGAAGGACCTTTGCTAGTTTCACCCACTAGTAAAGCTGGAGTGTCACTATATACAATCTTTAATGTCTCTGTGTAAAACCAAACCAAAACAAAAAAAAATATATTTTGAAAATTTTGAATAATCAAATTAAACAATTATTTCATGTTCGTCTGTATTTTACGTCATGCACTGCAGAATTTGCATACCTGTAAAAATCTTTTATGTCATATTTCAGCTACATCCGGTGTTTTTATTTAGCAACAAAAACGGCGACATCTATAGGTAACAATCCAACACCACAGAACTCAAACGAGTACATGTTTATGACGGTTTACTGGGTATCAGGAGTATTCGTATTTGCTTTACTTATTGGTCAGGTAAAAATATTTACTTTCTGTTGTTTTATAAGATTGTTTTGCTGTTCCTGTCATATCAGTCATTTTTTTGAAAATAAATGTTAGCCTGGAAATAAAAAAAGAAGAGTGCGCTCCAAATCTTTTGTTGCAACCTTTTAGACATGTCGTATTCAAAATGACTGTATTCAAAATAATTGACATTTCATGTTCCATACACTAACTATTTGCACTATGACTTTTTTTTCTAAAATAAACAATATGAAATATGGCCTTACTGCATTTTGGTTACGAACCCTACCTTGTCTCGACCGTGCTTCATCATTTGACATCTAAAAACTTCCATCATCATAAAGGTGAATATTAATGTTAATACCGACAAATAATGATAAAGTAAGTGTAAAAATTGTTTTCTCTTTATCGACGTTTATCAAGTGTAGTTTAATGGATTGTGATGTACAGAATGTTAACATTTTCCTCTTAAAATATACAAATGTATTTTGACAACAAAATATTTATTTTTATTGTTTTAAAGATCAGAGATATATTCGATGCTTCCAACATGGTAAAAACGACGTATAACCACAGAATGGATGGGGCTCTAAATTACGTGAAAAACATGAATGTACCAAAAGATACACAAGACAGAGTCCGGACTTGGTTTATATATAATTGGCAACAACAAAAAGTAATAGGTAGGTTAAAGTATATAGAGTAGTTTCCTTTATGAACTTTCAACATTTTTATAAGGCCAGTAGCTAATGATAGCTTTACTACCTTTGTATAACAATCTTAAAAGCATGTATGACAATGTACGTAAATAACATAAAACAATTGACCTATACGTAACGTAAAAAAATAAAACAATTGACCTTTACGTTACGTAAATAACATAAATCGATGGACCTATACGTTACGTAAATAACATGAAGCAATGGACTTATACGTTACGTAAAATTACATAAAAACAATGGACCTATACGTTACGTTAATAACATGAAGCAATGGACTTATACGTTACGTAAAATTACATAAATACAATGGACCTATACGTTACGTTAATAACATGAAGCAATGGACTTATACGTTACGTAAAATTACATAAATACAATGGACCTATACGTTACGTTAATAACATGAAGCAATGGACTTATACGTTACGTAAAATTACATAAATACAATGGACCTATACGTTTCGCTAATAACATAAAACAATGGACCTATAAAACTTTCTAGTCTATTGTTACTCGTAATAAAGGAAGTGAGTAAAATATCCCTTTGATCAAGTTTGTCAAAGCTGAAAGTGCATGTTCTCTTTTTAAAAAAAATGCTTAAAAGAATATTTTATTAAACAATTTTGATTTTCACATTCTATTTTGTATGCAATGTGAAATTTACCATTTAATTAAGTGCATTGTTTTAATTTTACTTGCCGTTACGATGTGTAGGATGTTTGGAAAATACTGCATATTAAATAAGTAGATATTTGTGTTCAAAACACAAGCAAACAGCTTTGCTATACATATTTATCATATCATTCACACATTATTTATATAAGCAATATATATATAATTAACATAGAAAATCTTAAAAGATACGCAATTTCACAACTTTACCCAAGTCACAGTTTCTTTGACCACGGAATATTACACAGAATATGCAATAATTGATTGATATTTAAACAACCAGCCCTGGAGAGCCAGTGATTTGCATAGATTGTTATTCAAATGGCAAAGAGTGTTAAGTTTGTATTGATGGATTGATAAATAAACACGAAAATCTCATACATTCGTAATGTTTGACAGACCCAATGATGGAAAAATTGCCAAGAGGAATTTGCATTGAAATATGCGTTAAATAATGACAGGGCTTGTCTTGTTCTGCATATTTTATCCCTTTTCTATTCATATGAAAATAACAATAGGAATATTACAACGGAAACGCTGTGAACGCTGGAATAATTGTCCTTCATTTCTAGGAAAAATGAAGAAATAAAAAAATGGTGCATGTTATTGCATGCAAGACTGTAAATATAAGACTAAAAAGAAAAAAAAATATTTTTCCTGGTAACTTGCCTAGAATGTAATCATTTGTAAAGCACTCTTGTCTGTTTGAACGATGTTTTTTTTTTTTAGATTGTTCAAGAACCTGTTTCGTAATAGAACCTAAATGAATATTAAAAAAAAAACTCTAATGATAAAACTTAAGTACGTAAATAAGAAATGTAATTATTCTTTCATATTCTTGATGACATAATTTTATTTACTCGCAGACGAACGATCCATGATGGACGCCTTGCCGATGAAGCTTCGTAAAGATTTGGCAATACATGTACATTTTAACACTTTGAGTAAAGTGAAGCTGTTCTCCGATTGTGATAAAACTCTGCTGTATGACCTCGTTTTGAAACTCAAACCGGTGCTATATTTACCTGGGGACTATGTCTGTAAAAAGGTTAGTATCAGACTCATTATAAACGAAAGCTCATTTCGTCTAATTTATAAACGAAATGTTCATTTCGTCTTATTTATAAACGAAATGTTCATTTCGTCTAATTTATAAACGAAATGTTCATTTCGTCAAATTTATAAACGAAATGTTCATTTCGTCTTATTTATAAACATAATGTTCATTTCGTCTAATTTATAAACATAATGTTTATTTCGTCTAATTTATAAACGTAATGTTCATTTCGTCTAATTTATAAACGAAATGTTCATTCGTCTAATTTATAAACATAATGTTCATTTCGTCTAATTTATAAACGAAATGTTCATTCGTCTAATTTATAAACGTAATGTTCATTTCGACTAATTTATAAACGAAATGTTCATTCGTCTAATTCATAAACGTAATGTTCATTTCGTCCTATTTATAAACGAAATGTTCATTTCGTCTTATTTATACACGAAGTGTTCATTTTGTCTAATTTTCAAGTGACTTTAAGTCTATTTAATGTGCTTGTTTAAATATTTTGATACGTGTTTTTAAAAACTATAATCAATCAAGTTGATAAAGTTAAGCGTCTCTTTTAATACTCCAAGGCACATGTTTGAAATTGGCATTGTTTTGCATTGTTTTCGCCATGTTGAAGAAGATTTTCTTACAACGTATTTTGTTTGCAATCTATATTGTTATGATAACTTTATTTTTTTTTGCTTGAAAATTATTATCATTATCAGTAAAGCAGAAAGAATGTGTGATTTATAAAAAAAATAATGACAAAGAACCAAATGGCAATATATTTGCTTTGAATACAGACTATATTGTAATGAAATCTGGACAAAAGGGGCGTTTTTCGTTATAATTATGATAAAGTAAGGGCATTAATCATGTAAATAACCGATTTAACCACACACAATGGGGCTTTTACAATAATGATATGGTTTCGTGATATACATCCATTATATATCAAATACACTGCTCCATGTAGGTATATTCTTAATAAATAAAATTACAGGTTTTTTCCCTACAAAAGACAATTCATTATTTTCTACAGAAAATATAGGATGAATGATGTTTAAATTAGTATTGTATTTCTTTGGAAACGTGATTTTCAGATTTCTTAAGATATTTTAAACATTGCATTATTTTGCATCGCAAGTTAAATGGAGATGTTTTGACTGTTTATTTTATTGTTTTTAATGGAAAGGGAAATTGAATGGTTTTCTTGGATTGATTTTTAGCAAATACTGACTTCAAAACGTCTTATAATATTGAAATAATGTGATTGGTAAACTTGATATAGTAACGATTCACAATTATATGATAATTATAATTATTTTCAACAAAGCTTTAAATGGACTTTTATTGTATGTATGTGGCCGAATTATAAAGGTTGTTAACTTTAAACTACTTACTTATCACCGGTTTTGGTTCGAATCCCGTCAGGGTTTTTGTATTCTTTCATGTTACGGAGGAATCAAACTAGCTCACGGAACAAAGATTGTTCTACTTAGGTGTCCGTTCGATCCCGTTATAATGTACGGAGGCCCACATGAGGCCTTTCTCCACCAGTTGAGCTGGAACGTCGCCATATGATTTCTACACTGATTGTGCTAAATCACTTAAATTAATTGACTTAAAATCCAACAACAAAATATAAATGTTTTACTTAAATATATTTGTTATTGTCTTAAATGATTTGAGCCGTGCCATGACAAAACCAACATAATGGGTTTGCGACCAGCATGGATCCAGACCAGCCTGCGCATCCGCGCAGTCTGATCAGGATCCATGCTGTTCGCTTACCAACCCTATTACAAGTAGAGAAACTGATAGCGAACAGCATGGATCCTGATCAGACTGCGCGGATGCGCAGGCTGGTCTGTCTCCATGCTGGTCGCAAACGCACTATGCTGGTTTTGTCGTGACGCGGCTCAATGTTTTCTATACAGGGCGAGATTGGTAAGGAGATGTACATTGTGAGTCAAGGGATAGTAGAGGTCGTTGGCGGTCCCAACAATTCACTTGTGTTAGCAACATTGAGGGAAGGGTCCGTGTTCGGCGAGATAAGGTAAATACAATACATATATACACTACACTATAATATAAACACAACACAACCGTTATAACAGATAGATTAACACGGTTTTGAGTTATATACATGTATAAACTGTAAAACCTTAGGCGTTATATTGGCCAGTGTAAACGGTTATATGCTTATATGGTTATATGCATATATAAAACTTGTCTCAAGATATAACCACAAGCCTTTTATATACGACCATATAGCCTGAATCGGATGCATTATACCTCAAATGTCCTTTGTTTAAATATAAAAAACTACATGATTGCATGAGCAGTTTTAAAAGATAATATAAATGTCAAGTCACGATTTTTCAATGAAAAAGTGCTGTTTAATGAAATAAAATCATTGTAACTTTATTATTATTAAAGTTAATACAATAACGATATTAAATTACAATGATATAGTTGAACATGTAATGTAAAAGTTTTATACTATAGTTTTTAACACATTTAGATATTACAAATTAAATAAGTATAACTTAGAAATGAAACGAAATGATTCGGACTTTAAAGTCAATATATAAAGCTAGTCTAGTTTTCTTTTTAACATTTCCAGACAATTATTGTTCAAATTTGAAAATCTTCTCAGAAAATAGTATCATCAATTATACTTAATAAATAATACAGGTATACTTTAATCAGTCTTTTTGTCTAATGCATTTTTGTTCTGTAATTAATAACATGTACTAAGAATTGGCTTCGATGAAATGCAGTTTAACTTACGAGTACGATCAATCGTAAACCCTATAGATACATATAAATTTGAATGAGGTTTTTATATTTTCTGATTGAATTGTATTTTCTGATCGAAGATCAGGAAATACAAAGCTGGCATTCAATCTCTGACACAGCGGGTTAACGACAACCTAACAACAAGTAGTTCTCAAAACAGCTTAAAACTAGCGATTTAAAAGAAAGAAATATTTCTTATTTTGTTACAAGTTTCCATCAAATGACAACGCATTCAAAGTTTAAAAGTAGCGTTGTCTTATAGAATTGTCAATAAATGGACAATCATAAATTAAGCGGATGAATATGATTTTAATCAATAAAAATGCTATTTTTAACGATGTCGATTACCGAATACTACAAAAAAATCTGACTGTCGAGTAGCGGAATATATAGATTCTACATGTCGGGCTGTTTTGGCGAGAAGATTTTCGCTAAATTATTTACATCAATTTTAAACAACAGGTGTATCGTGAACAAAATACCTCGAAATTAATAAGGATTACAAACCCGAAATGCAATGGAAATTCTAATTTTAGAATTAATTGATTTTATGCAGGCTTTATTCATATAACTTCTCCGTGGTGCAGTGGTAACGCGTTCGTTTAGTGTGTGCGAGGTCTGGGGTTCAAATCCCAGTCGAGGCAACATTTAAAAAAAAAAATTAAGTGTCTTTGTTAAGGAAGTAGCCACGATATGCAAGGATAAAGTGTGGCTGTCATAAAAAATAAACATAAATAATTATTTGATGCAACTCTAGTTATGCAAAATTCCGTTGTATTAAACTCTGGTGCCCTGCAAGATGAATTATAGTGCATAAAAATAAACTTATACAGGAAAAAACATACAGATATACACTATGATTTAGATTGCAAAGATCAGAAAATACCACAGAGCATGCAGCCCTTTGATTCATAATAGTAACGCCACTTTATAATAAATGGATGGATATTTACGAAAATAATAACATTAGCAATGAAGATGCGCAAGGACATAAAAAAAAAACCTTTCAAAAATAAAGTGACATCATGCCCATCCAAGTACACAGGGTTAATTTATAGACAAAATAATTCCCATGTGGCCAAAATTGTTTTAAATTCCATAGTTTTACTTCACATAAAAAGGAATAATCCACGTACGTGGCTCTCGAAAAATAAATTCTATAAATATCCTTCGGAATGCATCGGTTATGTACAATTTATAAAAAAGAGTGGGCAGTATTTTTATATTTTGTACAGTCTTTAGTCACTTTATCGTAAACGATTTTTAATTAATTATCAGTTCCTGGAATTTGTCAATCGCCATGTTAATAGTAAATCTTTCAAACGTACAGTTAATTCTGCCCAACTTGACAGCAAAAAAAATGAGCATAATGCCACTTTTAAAAACATGTGCATTGAAACAATCTTACTTTGAACTGTTGTAAAAGTACTAAAAATTAATTTTATTTTACAGTCTACTTGCGATGGCTGCCGAGGGGAATAGACGTACTGCTGATGTTAGGTGTAAAGGTTTTACCAATTTATTCATACTTTCAAAGACTGATTTTGAGAATGCTATGAAAGATTACCCAGAGGCTCACAAACTGCTAAAGAAAAGAGCGAAGTAAGTCATGGAATTTGAAGTCCAGCGGACTTTCTTGTTGTCAAACTGGATTCTATAGAAAATGAAAACTATTACCGTGATTTTTGCTGCATGATACTTATACATAATATCCATTATACTACACACTTATAACAATTCCTTCTCATATAGTTGCATACAACACATGTTAAGTCATTTTTAAACTCAAGATTTAGATAAAGTTCGTTAATGTTTTGTAATTGTTTATTGGTGCTGAATTTTATATTATATGTAAACCATCATCAAATACTAGTACACAGAGATAAATAGTCGTTATTTGACTTACACATGAATATTCTGCAACATCTTTACGGCGATCAACATGAATGTCAACAACCCAAGTGAATTGTTTTGAATATATACGCACTTGTTCTTTGCTATTGAAGGAAACTGCTACGTATGAACGCTAGAATTGAACGACAGAGTCAATGTTCTGTAGACCAGTCAAAGATAAATGCAACAAACATAATACATACACCTCCGGAAACTCCTAAACTTGTTAAGACTGTCATACAGGTATGTCTGGCAAAAATAACTCTTTTGTAGATGAATTTATAAGTGATATGCTTCCAGATTTAACAGCGAAGATAAATTGATGACACAAGATCTTATACCAATAATATAAAACAATTCTGAGTAGTCTGAATTGTCACTTTAATGTTGACTGCTCCGTTTAAGTATTTTGATATTGAAACTCAGCAAACTGTTAGTTTATGGTTAACTTTTCTTTAGCACATTGGATAAAATATACATAATGAAACTGTGTTGTTCAAGATTCAATTTGATTTTGTTTCGCTCATTGTTTTGTTTTTCGTTTATGGCAAATGCATACAAAGGGACCTTATGCTGTTTTTCATGGAATGTCACTAATTTGTCACATTGCAGATTCCATGATATCTGCTGTATGAACTTACAGTTTTAACATTTCATGTCGAATGTTGAATTCTACTTAAGCCAGTTCTTTGTGGCATGACGGTTGTTTTCACTTTTCCGTACCGTCCATGAATAGGTACAATCAAATCGAGCCTGCAACATTTTCTATTTTTGCCGTTTTGCGCCTTCTTAAGGAATTCCGTTTTTCTCTTTATTTTCAAATAGACTTGTCATATCTTTAATGTTAGGGTATGAAAATTATCAAGATTATTATGTTAATCAGTTAAGTTTTTTTAATATTATGATAGATTTGTTTGCAGGTAATGGATCCAGAATCATCTCTTTTACGGAAGCTTAGTACGAGAAGGGGAAGTAATAAAAACACTAAGAATGACGAGGATCCCAATGTAGCTGATAATGGAGCTTATGAATCAAGTCCTGATGTATGTACATTACTATCAACACGTTACACAATTTAACTTGTGTTCTAATATCTGTTACAAAAACGAAGTTTTTATTACATGCTTTTCGGTGGTTTATAGAAATATATCAGTGATATAAAAACTGGTAATTTCACTGTTTGAAACAGTGAAATTACCACTTTGATAATTTCACTGTTTTGAATTTAAGCCCCTTACGTTGTTTCACTGAAATACCAGCGTGCACAGAACGGGTACCAACTTAATGACGTGACGTCGTAAATGACGTCACGTTGTATTATTATTTGGCGCGCTTTTCATTCAGTATTAGGTTAAATGTCTTTTTAAAACGTTTCTTTGCATATAATAAAAAGAAAATTTGTTTAGTTTAGTGTAAGATCAAAATATATTCCACCTTGTGAACACCAAAAGTTCATATTTCACTCGTGGCTGCGCCACTCGTGAAATATACCTTTTGGTGCTCACTCGGTGAAATATATTCCGATCTTACACTGAACTAAACAAATATCCTCTATGTCTTTTGTTAGTACACACTATTTATTAAACTGACGTTCTGGTATATCAGAACACAGGAACTTATAATTCTATTAATATAAAAGATAATATGCAAAATATGGCCCCATACTGTATAGTATTTATAGTATATAGGAGGTATTTTTGGATATTATCATTAATATTGGTTTTTTGATAGAATTTCAAGTTTCTGTGATCAGAATTATTTTAAAAGGGTCGCATGTAATAATTTTTTCTTTGCACTATATCAAGAATAACACCTGTCTTTCTTTTTTTCTCCCTTTCTTTTTTTGGGGGATATCGGAAGAAAAATAAATTTTAATTCTATTGAACTATTTTTTTACTAATACTTTGAATTTGAAATATGATCATTTCATGGAACGGAAGGGTTGTTTTTAAAAATTCATTTTATCTTTTTCATTTTCTCTGTCGAAAAAATAGGAGATTGGGTATAGGAAAATTTTGCACCCTAGTAACACATATAACATTCTATTATCATGTTCGTATCTCTTAATATACTTATTTATTTAATATACATGCATATTACTTTTGTGTTATAGTTAAACAAAAGATCAAAGTCAAATTCCTTAAAAGATGAAGCCGAAGAGTTCTATGACAAGATGCTTTCTGAACGGGACTGGCCCGACGAACATGTGGAAGTGGAAAACGAAATACTTGCTAAAATGGGTGGCCGAAGCGACAAGTTCAAAAAGGAAGAACCCGAGAAAGATGGCGGGGGAAATAATGAGAAGGGAACCAGTAAAACATCGGAAGTTAAAAGTCCTGGTTCCAGCTCACAGGCGAAGAAAACAAGCGACAGTAGTACGAGTAGTTTTGATTCTGGTACATGTAAAACTCGAACATGTAAACTATCAGTAATAATAATACCTAATATCTAAGAGATCATAGTGCCTTAATTAGGAACTATTTTCATGGTATCTTCCAGTGAATCTTTAGGCTCGTATGAATTGCGTAAGATCTTTGTAACTATTTTTATCACATGTTTTCAAAAAAATATTATTAAGATATTCAAATGTTTTCAAAGAATGGTAAGCCTATTATCTTCCTTCGTTGTACATGAGAATGTTATATTTAGCATTGCTTTAAGTGTGACTCCATAAAATGTTTGGTGCACAATATTCCTGGCAAGGCCCTTAAATGGTGAAATACTAAACTCTTGCCTCTTCGCCCGCCAAAATGTACTTAAAGACGTCTAATTCAACTGTTTTAATTGGTTTATTTACAATATTGGTTTATTTACAATAATTAATGAAAAATGTATGAATCGGTGAAAAAGCGATATTTTCTACTTTGTGATCAATATATTTGCAAGCGTTAAGAGGCATTGCCCAAACACTGTAGTGAGTTTAATCCCATTGATATTACCATACTACAAGGTTGCAATACTCTATGAACGTACAGTAATTTGTTGTTAATTTTAAGCAAAGACTTGGAACTTTCATACAGATAAAGGACTTAAATCTCTCATATTATTTCCACTCTGAATAATGAAGATTGTTGCTCTGGAGTTATATCTTGATGATCAACATGCCATTAAGGAGTTATAAAAAACTAGAAATGTGTCATCATGCCACGGATGCCCCCGCATGCAGCCAAAATTTCAGATGGTGCATTAAGTATTTTTTTCATTTTAAGTTCAAAGCCCTTAAAACTTTTCAAGGTTAACACAAACCATTTTCATACAATGTTCAAGGCACTGAAATTATACAGTCTTAACCTTTTAAAAATAGCATATTGCATATTTGTAGCCAAAATAATGGCTAAAAGTATGAGTGCTGAAACTGAAAGTTCAAAATTTTTCCAACATTCAGGAAAGATAAGTTTGTCTAAAATCATTGAACCACGACCAAATTCAAACTTAAACTGCTTATTCCTAAGATGTACCTATATTATTTTCAAAATTAATTAGGGACATAACTCTGCCAAAAAATCCTCAAACCATGACCAAATTCCAACTTGACCTGCCCATTCCTTTGACATATCTATATGTCAAATTTAAGTTGAATATGTAACACTGTTGGGTAGATAATGAACAGAAACTGTAAATTTCATATTATTTTCAAAGTGAAAGGGGCATTACTCTGCCAAAAATCATTGAACCATGACCAAATTCGAACTTGGCTTGGGCATTCCAAAAACATATCCATATGTCAAATTTGAGTTAAATGTGTTGAACCATTGGGGAGATAATAAACGGAAACTGAAAATTTCATATTACTTTCAAAGTGAAAGGGGCATAACTCTGCCAAAAATCATTGAACCATGACCAAATTTGAACTTGACCTGCGCATTCCTTTGACGCATCCATATGTCAAGTTTGAGTTGAATGTGTTGTACCTTTGGGGAGATAATGAACGGAAACTGAAAATTTCATATTGTTTTCAAAGTAAAAGGGGCATAACTCTGCCAAAAATCATCGAACCATGACCAAATTCGAACTTGACCTGTATTTTCTCATGACATATCCATATGTCAAGTTTGAGTTGAATGTTTTGTACCTTTGGGGAGATAATGAAGGGAAACTGAAAATTTCATATTAATTTCAAAGTGAAAGGGGCATAACTCTGCCAAAAATCATCGAACCATGACCAAATTCGAACTTGACCTGTATTTTCTCATGACATATCCATATGTCAAGTTTGAGTTGAATGTGTTGTACCGTTGGGGAGATAATGAACGGAAACTGAAAATTTCATATTATTTTCAAAGTAAAAGGGGCATAACTCTGCCAAAAATCATCGAACCATGACCAAATTCGAACTTGACCTGTATTTTCTCATGACATATCCATATGTCAAGTTTGAGTAGAATGTGTTGTACCGTTGGGGAGATAATGAACGGAAACTGAAATTTCATATTATTTTCAAAGTAAAAGGGGCATAACTCTGCCAAAAATCATCGAACCGTGACCAAATTCGAACTTGACCTGTATTTTCTCATGACATATCCATATGTCAAATTTGAGTTGAATGTGTGCAACCGTTCTTAAGATAATGAACGGAAACTGATGATGACGGAATGACAGAATGACGGAAGGACGGAAGGATGGAAGGACGGAAGGATGGAAGGACGGAAGGACGGAATGACGGAACAGGGTAACACTATATGCCCCGGCCATTACATGGCGGGGGCATAAAAATGGATTATGTGACAGGGGGGTTCACAGTTGAAAGAAAAAATTGTACCCTTTTCATGATATGTGTGTTAAAAAAGTGCTCAATGAAATCATAAGAATTTACTTTCCTTTTTCAGGTGTGAGAGATACCAAAGTGACAAGTCCAGGGTCAAGTTCCGTTCGTTCACTTAGTAATAAAGATAGTAAAGAATCCTTTATTAGTGCTGATTTAGGTTCGTAAGATTTTACATTTTGTCGTTTTCAGATTGATAACGTTTTCACATATAAACTACCAAATACATTATTCAACTTGTGTAGTTATTGTTCTAATTTGCCTGATCTAGATACGAGTTCAGTACCGCTAAGGACAGTGTTAAAAATAAATTGGGTCAACAATGGTCACATTCTCCATAAGTATTTCAAATATTGATAAAAAAAACAATAGAAATTAATCATTTATAATACTATGAAATATTAATTTGAAAAAAAAAATGTTGATAAAGTTCTTAGTGATTTAGTTTAGACATTTATATGATCAATAATATTATTTTATTCTAGAACATTTTATTATCTACTTTGTAAATAAATGCAATATCGAATCTTTTATCACACACTATACAATGTATATGTCATCCTTACATGGTTTGCTGTTATATCTAATACCAAATACTATCAACGATATTATTTATTTCACTTTGAAACACAGTAAAGAGTTATAATTCATTAAGCTCACTGCTGCTGTCACTCTACATTTCAACGTGTAATAACAAATTATAAATGCTGTCACAATGCAAACATTATAATTGGGCGAGGAACATTCATTGAGAAAAATGTCACATTAAAAGTTGGAAACTTTTGCTTTTCATTTTTGAATTTGCAGTATATCTTTTTATAAAGACCATTTCAGCAATGCGTAATCGTTTAGATGTTCTTATTTGTGTGACCTTTAAATGGACTATCCGAAAATTTTAAATCACAACTTGTTCACTATATAAAACAAAATGGGAATATATTTTACTGACATCAATAACATAATATTGAAACTTTACCTAACGGAACGTAATCATTATTTGATAATTGGCTTTAATTGCAAAAGCATTACTATTTCTTGAAAAAGTTTATTTTCTGATTACTTCAAGTTATAAATATGTGAATTTGTTTAATTTGAATTTATTCTATTATTTTGTAGCAGGTATATTGGAGGATGACTCGGGGGGTAGCGATAGTACTGAACCTACCACAGAATTAGACCATAGCATTAACTACACCGCAGATATGTTTGGTGACATAGAGTCACAACCAGCTCGTGCAAAATCCGGCCGTCATAAACGAACGAAGAAGTCATATAGAGCTACAAGCGGGAAAATTGGAGGTGGATCATCACTTCTTAAACGAAACGATGAATACACGAAGGCGTTTGCAAATGGGTTTACAATAATCATAGATTCAGTAGATGACAAGGAAAATTACTCAAGAGATTGTTTCTCTCCCGAATCTTCTGATTCTGGCGAAGAGGACTCATTCGATTGTAACGATTTATTGGAAGACGATGACGATGAACTAGATAAGAAAGAACAGATTGTTAAAACAGTGACATTTGAAGATACCAAAGAAAAAGATAGTAAAGAGAACATAAAATCCTCAAATATCAAACCGTCGAGTGCTCCTGCACCGAGAACACCTAGTGTGTACACTATGAAAGCCGTTAAACCATTGGCTAAACCGTTATCTGCGGGCAAGAGCAAGGCTAGTATACAAAGTAAAAATAAACTGGGATTGAAGCTTAAAATAGAAAATGAAAAGACTACTGATTTCACACCTTATCTGAAATCATCCAGCGGAAAGGGTAAGTCTCAAACAAATAGAGCTCGACAACAGTATAATATTTCAAAACAAAAGAACTTGAACAAGACGGCATCAAATGGTACTAAGCCTGTGTCAGGGTTGGCTGATAAATCCAAGGTTGACAAACAGAACGGAGATAAAGCGGCGTCTGTTGACGGTAAACCAGCAGACATAGTTAGAACAAATTCTGGCGGAAGTGTAAGAAGCATTTGTGTAGCAGAAGCAGACGACCATAAATCAATTAATAATGTCGCTGAACAATCACAATCACCGAATCAGGTCACGTGCTTTGCTGACGTACACAGAGAAAAGACAATTTCTTCGAATTCGAATCAAGAGGAAATGACCACGTTGTTTTCTCCGGATATGGTCCCGGCAGGGAGACAACGTAAAATTAGTGTGATTTCTATTGGTTCCGTCTTAAAAGACAGTCGAGAAACTCTAGTCTGATGTAATAAAATATAATCATATTCCCTGCCAAAATTAAATAAAACATTTGTCTCACATACAGAAATCCTTTATATGTCTAATTATTTGTCAGATTGTTTTTTTTCTATGTTCTTTTAAATTTGTTTTTTTTTTCTTTTGCAATGTAATTGCATGTTGATGTTTTGTTTGTCTATGAATAAATCTAAGTATTTTGATTACGTGTGTAAACCATAACACTTCATGGAGGTAAATTAATAGCATGCCTTCCTTACAGTTATGTCTAACAAGCTTACAATGTGTAAAGCATGACAGCTAAATCATAATAATGTTTTGTTTGAATCTGTGGCTCATTTTTTGTCACCTTATCAAGGTAGACTTTTATGCTTTAAATAGTAGAGAAAAAAAAACCAACGTGTTTCTTTATACATTATTTGAGACAAAAGTCGTTTCCTACTTTCGGAGAATATCAAGGAAGAATAATCCTATATCTGATAACTGTAATATAATTCTTGAAAACTGTAATTTTATTTGCAGTCATTCCTACTGATTTAATATAAAGAAAAATGATTACTTCAATTATAAATTTGAACATTTGAAAGGTAAACCAATAGAATAATATGGTTGATAAAATGTTAATTTAGAATGTAAATGTGCCGGTCGCATTAATTTTTTTGTAGACTGATCTGTCTTTAAACAGGTTGGAAAAGAAGACAAACTTTATTTATCTGTATGCTTATCAAATATTGTTTCCAATTGTGTTAAGTTTTTTTTTCGTTAATAAAATGTGATGAACTTTTATTTAAATCATTTATCCTGCACAAAAGTATATCATTGACAAAAATACTGATCCTTCAAGAGCAATGGTAGCAATAAATAGTCGATTGAGACAGACTTGGTTTCATTCAGCGTGTTTATAAGCAAATATAAAGAGTGTGCATCATTTCAGGCACCCTAGCACCGACCTAAAACGCATTGGAATCAGTGATATAAAAATCTTTTACCAGCTGCGGCACTATACTCAACACTTGAAGCTTGTGTAGTTTGTCATCTTGCTATTTGCCTAGTACCTACAGTACCCACTCTTGTAAAAAGTATCCAAAGGTGCCCGAAAATACTGAACGGTCTGCGAGAATTAAACACGTCGTAAAAGAATTACGTAATGACTTTCTTTCTTTCGATTGTATTCCATTTCTGCACCCTCACCTTTCTTACCACTATTGCTTGGACTTAAATCCTAAAAAAATGAGAGTTAAGATCAACAAGGTAAGGCGATGTTCACATAACGCAGCCCCCCCCCCCCGACACATTCTTATAAGAATAAGTCAATCGACATAATTGTGTCATTCTTGTTCGGGTTCAGCGCTTGATTTATCATCTTCCAGTTTTACGACATAAAATAACAGGTGGATTGTGGCAAACATTTTACATTTTATTCTTTTCACAGAGCGAAGGTTGTAGTATTAATAACAATGTCTAATTACATGTCACGAGAATTGGGAGCATGGTTATAGATAATTACAGACCTGATTATGAGAGATTGCTGTTTACAATCTAAAGCACTGGTTGCAATAGAGTGTAGAAGAATCCTTAAAGAAAACCCAAAACAACAAAATTGAAAAAGTTGCAGGCTCGGTTTGATTGAGCCTGTTCGTGGACTGTACTTGAAAGTGAAAGTTATCGTCCATGCCCTTAACACCGGCATGGTATTGGCGAAACGATGAATTTAGAAACATTCGCAGATGCAGAAGTCATGTAAATAACTGAATGGTTGATTTCTTTACACATGTAAAACATGAAAGCACGCATAATGCTCAATAATCATTATTTGTAAACATATCTGCACAATACATTGACAACATAACTGTGTCATACTATTTTAGTACCAATAACTGGTAGGAAGTCGGATTTCCAGCCACTGGAGCCCTGGAAGTTTATGACGACATTCAAACCATTGTATCATTTCCGGGTAATGGTTTGTCTCCTAAATAAAGAAGAAGAAAAAAAGAACCAAAAAAAAAAGAAGATCAGTTTAATATATCATCATTCAAGCTTAAAAATGCGACGTCCAGGATGCAATATTTATGTAGATGAAAATCTTGGCAAATGTTCCTTTAAAAGTATCAATTATCATTCCCAAAATATCTTGCTTTGTGCCTTTTCAAAATTTCATAATTTTAGTTTATAGAAATCAACATCCTTCTGAAAAGAAATATTAGGAGCTAATAATGAATAATGTAAAAAAATAGTCCAAGATCAACGACATTGTGAAACATTCATAGACATAAAGTCATATGAAATAGTACAAAAGACTGGTAAGGCCATTTCATCTTCATGAATTCCCGATGTCATCTTCATGAATTCACAATTCAAACGTCGTGAATTCCCGTTTTCAACATTCGGAATTCACGATTTCAGCTTCATGAATTCACGACTTCAATTTCACGAATTCACGATTTCAACTTCATGAATTCCCGATTTCAACTTCACGAATTCACGATTTCAACTTCATAAATTCACGATTTCATCTTCACGATTTCAACTTCACGAATTCACGAATACAACTTCACGAATTCACGCTTTACACTTCACGAATTCACGATTTCAACTTCATGAAATCAACTTCACGAATTCACGATTTCAAATTACTATTATGTTGTGTTCATCTCAACAGGAACTGGTTCATAGGCATAAATATCAATCAGATTACATGCCAACCAAGTGCAAAGATTCCAAAATTGTAACATTTTCTTTGCAAAAGTCGATAGAATACTGTAAGTCTTGATTAAATTGCTATTTCGGCACAACACTCTTATAGAATTTTTAGGAAAGACCGCAAAGAACTTATTGAAAAAGGTGGAGGCGGAGTCATGGTTTTAGTTAAACCGGGTTTAGACTGTGAAGACTGTCCAGATTTAGATAGTAACTGTGAAATTAAATGGGTGAAAGTCACAACTTCAAAACATTGTAATATACTAGTGGGTGCATTTTATCGTGAACCCAAGTCGCAAATCGAAACACTGAACGAACTTGATATCTCGCTTGGTAAAATAGGAAATAGTGAAAAATATCGGAATTGTAAAATTTTCCTTGGTGGGGATTTTAATTATGGAGATATTGACTGGGAGTATGGTAATCCTACGTCGGGTGCTAAAGATAAAGCACATTGTGAAAAATTATGCTCAATATTAAATTTGCACTTTATAGAACAGGTAAACTTGCTACCTACGAGAATGAATAGAACTCTAGATCTTTTTATAACATCACACCCAACTTTGATTGAAAAATGTTCCACAGGACCTCCACTCGGTTTAAGTGATCATGATTGCCTGTTTGTTACATCAAAATTACGTGCAGTTACCAACAAGAAACAAGATAGAACTGTTTATAATTATAAAAAGGCAGATTGGCAAAAACTTAAAGATCTGACAAATGAATTTAAATCTGACTACCTAGCTAAATACCAGAATAACAGTGTAGATACAAACTGGATACACTTTTCAGAAACATGGACAAATGTATTCCAACTAAAAAACTGAAAAATAAACAAGATATACCATGGTTGCATAAAGATACAAAAAGAATGCTTCGTAAAAAAAGCGTCTGTACAAACGCGCGAGGAAAACTAAATCGAGTGAAGATTATGAGGAATTCAAACTTTTCCGAGTGAAAGCAAGGAATAAACTACATAGTGACTATCATAAATATTTGAACAACCTATTAGACCCGGAACAAGATTCAACATCAAAGAAATTTTGGAAATATATAAAAGCCCGGAAACAAGATTCAGTCAGTATAGGTACATTGAAATCCCAGGGTGTTATAGCAGATAGTGCAGAATCGAAAGCCAACCTTTTAAACAGTCAATTTAGTTCGGTATTCACAAATGAAAACTTAAAAAACATTCCAGATAAGGGACAGTCCCCATACATACCTATGAATGATATTATCATCAGCGAAAATGGAGTAAAGAAATGTATTGAACGGCTAAATGAGCAAAAAGCTAGTGGTCCGGACAAAATTCCATTTAAGTGTTAAAAACATTAGCATTTGAACTGGCGCCCATCATGACTAGTATTTTTCAGCAATCATTGTTAACTGGTGAAATTCCTCTGGACTGGAAACAAGCTAATGTAGTTCCTATCTTCAAGAAAGGTGATAGATCAAAACCTGAAAACTACCACCCAGTCTCTTTGACAGTCGTTGTATCAAAAATTCTTGAACATATAGTTGTGTCACAAATTATGAATCATCTTGATTCTCAAAGTATTCTACATGAAAATCAGCACGGATTCCGCTCGAAAAGATCTTGTGAATCTCAACTATTAATGACAAATGATGACATTGCAAAATCACTTAATTCCGGTACACAAGTGGATATGGCAATTTAGACTTTTCTAAAGCATTTGATAAAGTTTCTCATAGACGTTTATCACACAAACTAGAGTATTACGGTATTTCCGGTAATACTAGGCGTTGGATTGATTCCTTTTTATCTAATAGAACACAACAAGTAGTAGTGGACAACGCATCATCTGATATAGCCTCAGTAACATCTGGTGTACCGCAAGGAACAGTCCTCGGACCAACACTCTTTTTAATCTACATAAATGACATCGCAGATAATATTACATCAGGTATACGTTTATTCGCTGACGATTGTGTGTTATATCGGCCGATAAGTAACCAAAGTGACAACTTAGCTCTCCAGGAAGATCTTAGTAACTTGAAAATTGGTCGGACATTTGGCAAATGGAATTTAATGTTAAAAAATGCGCCATTATGCAATTTTCATCTTCTCCACACAGAAAGAAATATGACTACAAAATGAAAGGCGAAAGCTTGGAAATAGTCAACCGGCATCCATATTTAGGGGTTGAATTCAGTGATAATTTGAAATTCAACGACCATATTTACAACATCACAAAAAAGGCAGCAAGTACACTTGGTTTTCTAAAGAGGAACTTAAGATACTGTCCTCCCAAAGTAAAAGAAAAGGCTTACATTAGCTTGGTCAGACATAA